CCATTTCTGTCATTAAACATCATTAAATGGCACAGTGCTGTTGTGAGTTGAAAAAGCTTTGTGCACAAACAAGCCCTGATTTGTGCAGAAGCTTCCTGAACTTCCAACTGATTACATCAAATGGACTAATCTCTGGACGTTCCTTGCATTTGCTTTGTTATTTAAAAAAAAAAAAAAAAAAAAGAATAGAAACTGTGCATTGACTGGACTCACAGAATTTTCCAGAAGCTTCTTGTTGAGTACCAGCCTGATTCTTATTATGGCAGTGATTTTTTTTTTTTTTTTCCCCCTCAGCATTTGGGAGACTCGACATCAAAGTGCTGCTGCAGCAGCACCTGCAAGGGGAATGGTGCCTCCACCCTTGAACTGCCGTGGTTTTGTGACCTTCTCCCACGCAACGTTAAGCAGATGCACAGTGTTTTGACTAGATGGCAACCCCAAGTTTGTACATATTTGCAGGGATGCCATCTGTGCCTGCTGCTTTGCCCTGGGACATCTGTTCAGTAGCTCTGAGAGCATCTGCTCTAAGTGCTGGTACTGTTCCTCGAAAGAGGCTGTGGGGCTTCATTTGGCACTTGATCAGGGATGAGGGAAGTTGTAAAGTTGGAGCGATAACTCTGCTTTGTTTATGTTTGAGTGTGATAAGCCCAGAAGATTGCCGGAATTGGATGCAAAAAAGTGGTTTTGTGTTAGTTCTTAGAGCTCTTATTGCGGCCTTTAGTCTACATTGTGCTTACCTGATGTATTGGGTTTGTAAAGGTCAGAGTTTGACTGCTGGTTTGACTCAGGATCTTCTGGAGGACACCTGTCCCACAGCTCTTCCTGGGCTCCTGTAGTCTCTGAGTTGTCCTTCCTTTGGCTGCTTGCACAACATGACAGCAGTAAAATCCTTGTGGTGTTTACCACAGGAGGAGATCACTTCTGGGGGGGGGGAGATGATGAGTAGGTGAATATGTTTCTTTAATGCAGGTGGTGGATTAAGCCAACTCACTTTATACAAATACTTTTCTGCTTCGAGTGTCTTACATGTTCTTATTTAATGTTGATAGTGACTTCTCCAGTTTTTTGGTCATTACATCCACAGCAGGTGTTTCCAGCTGAAAGTATACTTTAGTAACCTTGCTTGCCTGATCTGGAAGTGAAATGAGAGATCAAATGCACAGTTAAATATTCGCTGTGGTGGAGACTAAAAGAAAGCGGGAAGAAAAAAAAAAAATCCTTAAACATAACTGAGTCAAGCTTTATCCTCTCCTATCAATATTGTCGTGTGAGTTACACAGGGGTTACAAAACCTGTCAGAATTTAAAGCATCTCGAGCTGGTTGTGGATTAATACTGTCCTTCTGTAAAGCACGTTGCCTTAAAATATCCCAACTTTTTCTTTTCTTGATGTGCATCAAATCAGCCTGAATTTAGCAACGTATTTTTCTCTTCTACGTTGGGATTTGAATGAGGGTCTGTGGACAGACCTATAAAAAGCATCTGAATTCTATAACTGTGCAAAAGAAGCCGGCAGTAAATTACACGCTTAGCAAATAGGGAAGTTCTGCTGGTGGGAGGATTTCAGCCAAGGTCATATTGTATTGCTGTTCCATAAACGGCAAGCTTTCTTAATGCATGTGTTTCTGAGAATTTCATCTGTCAAAATACGTGTTAGCTTTTGATCATGCCCTTTTGTAAAAAAAAAAATAAAAATTGTTATTGAGAAATGGTGAATAAAACAAGAAACCATCACTTAGTGCTAAGAAGCTGCCAAGTAGATTAATATCTCGCAGCTTTCTTCCTTGAAAAGCAAAGAGGAGGGTAGCAGGGGGGTAACTGTAGGGCAGGCTGACACAGACTTCATGCAGAAGCAGAGATAGTTGTAATATTCAGGGATCTCTCTTGGGCTTTTGATATGGATCTTGTGGCATCACTGGAAGTTCACACATGTCTGCTCATGATACATTCATTCAGAGGGTCCCAGATTCTGTTCTATTCCTCTGTTTTCTTTTAGTTCCTCACAAAAAAAAGCTGGAAAGTACCTACAAAATACCAGTTACAGACCAGTTCATTGTCCTGCCTTTTGTATGGTAACTTCTATTCATTTCCCCCCTCCCCAGTTTTACCTGTTGTTTTGTAGCAGATAAAAACTTGTGCAGTGGCATTTCAAGTGAAGGTTCGGATGGATATATATATATAAAAAATCCATTTATTTTCTCTGGCTTTACGAATTATTTTCTCGCAGATTGACGATTTCTTGCCCGAGTTTTGTTTTTTTGCTCGTTTGTCTTCCATTCCACAATTTGCAAATTAGAACTTGGACACAGAGTTCTAATTTCCAAGAGTGAATGGCCTTTGTGTCACTGCTTTTGAAGAGGCTTTCTTTCCCTCAGAGCCTGGTGGGAGGAGGAAAGAAAAGATGATGTTTGCTACTGAGAAAAGCTGTTTGCACGTGACTTCTATTTTGGTAGAGGGAAGGCAGCTACATCTCCCGAACTGTGAACATCGTGAAGTGTCTGTGTGTAATCAAAGTCTCCATTGTGCATTTTAAAAAAAGAAAAATCAACTGCTGTTGGGATTTTGTGGACTGGTGTTTGAGGGTAACTGCTTGTGATTTGCACCTGTTGAAGGGTGGTGAGAAATAGGTGCAGGATTTGTCTGCTGTCATCCTCCTTTCCCGCCACTGAAGAGGTAAAACGTGGTGTTTTGTACAGTCCTGTGGCACTTAATGCATTAGGTGCACATAGATAAAAAATGTTAGCACCAGCTATCAAAGTAAATTCTAACCAATCATTTCTGTGTTATATATATTAGTCAGGAGACTGACAACAAGTCCAATGCCTAAGCAACAAGCTGTTTTCAATCCTGAATTAACTACTGACACTAAAGCTTGTCAGATGAGGAGCCGTGTTGCCTTGCAATTCCCTGTGCTGTACAAATAATAGAGCGCTGATGTGATTAGGTGCAGTATCTGACTGACCTTTCCAGGGTGGGACTGCTGCTTTTACGTTAGCAAACAAGTCACTGTGAGGTGAGTGATTAGCTCTTGTGGCTATTGGAGATTGTGAAGGATGGCCACAGGAAGCAGTCTGCTTCCTGTGACAGGAGCTCATCTGCTTTTTGGGCTCTTAAGCTTCTGTGATCAACTATATAAATGTATCTATATATATATTTATGCAAATACTTTGTGTATGAGAGAGATACTAGAAGGTTATGTAGCTCTCCTTCATTTTTTTCCCAAGTTTTCTGTCTTCTTTTTGTGCTTTGACAGCAGATGGCAAGTACAAATTGTTTAAGTATGACATCACTGACAGCGCTTGCCCTGGTGCTTTTCTGAATGCCAGCAGCAGTATCTTCTGACCTGTCACTGAGCATCAGAATAGAATAATGAAAAAATGTTCTCCAGATTTCTTGTGAGCGTAATTTAGGTATTTTGATGGGCAATGGCTGTAGTTTATCAACGTTCTGCTCTACTCTTTAGGAAACTCCTCTTTGTCTGCCTTCCTTGTGCCACGATGTGCATGAAACAGGCCAGTTCCTTCACAGCACCAGCCTTCCTGATTTTTTTTTTTCCACTCTGTGCTGTGTGTATTTTATTTGTACCTGTGCCTGGTGTGTTTTTTATTCAGGTTTTTACTGGTTTTTACAGCCTTTACTTCCTGGTGTTTTTTCCTTTGCCACTTGAGGTTTTTCATTCAGGTGACCTGATAGTGCTCATATGTTGCATGAAAAACACGATGACAAGGCACTACCAGGACCGTTTCGCTTATAGTCTCTGTGTTCCCCAACTCACCTGTTGGGATCTTCTGCACATGTTTCCAGCTAGTGTGTTATCTCATAAGTAAGTTCCTCCCAAAGAACTCCTGTTTTTCAGTTCTAAAAAGCCTCAGCTTCGCTGGTAAGGTCTAATCCTGAAGAAGTGCACAGACCCTCTGTAACTCTTTTGCACACAGGTCTGTTGGGGTCTGGGTGCTGCCAAGCAACCTAACAAAAGGCTTGTGGGGAAAATAAAAATCAGCACTTGGATAATGGTTTTGTGTTGCGTTTACTTTTTGGAAGTGGGTTCTTCCATAACTGCAACTTTTTTCCTCCCTACCCCAAACTAGCACCTGTCTTTCAACTGCTGTGTTAAATTGGTGTTGCCCAGCGGGAAAATCATGACACTGTGGAGGCAGGAACTGCCTGGACAATCTTGACATCTTCGCTTGCTTGTAGAGTTATTTCTACTATAAATGGAAGTCCACCCTCTTTCTACATCCAGAGCTTCATTTTAGGAGGAAAAAGATTTGATATGCTGTAAATACTCGGTGAGGTCCAAGAGAAGCCTTCACTATTTACATGGTCAGTGTGCCCTGGAAAGGCTAAATTCATCCTAGAAAAAGAATTGGCTCCCCCCACCTCTGTGTGAAGCCAGTTTGTCAGCTGTCCTTGAGTGTGACAACTGTCTGAAGGTTTTGGCTGTTGGGTTGTTTATGCCAAGTGTTGAGATGCCTAATCCAGCCAGGATGTTCTGCTGTTCCACTGTAAAGCCGAATGATCATGACAGTAACAATAAAAGTCAAATTTAATGATTACCCTGTGATTTCTTAGCTTAATGGCTTTTTGTTTGTTTGTTGTAGTGATGTGTACAGCTCTTTATTTTTCAATTTCCTACAAATCTTGCACTCATATAAAATATTTGGATGAAAAGAGTAAGGCTTGGTTTCTTGTAGTTGATCCTGTTCTGTGGGTGAAAAAAGGACTTCGGTTTCCTGGGCTAACAAATGGTGCTTTGAAAATGATCTGTTTTCATGTAATTGCTGGTTTTGTGCTGCTCTGAATGTATAGTCTTATCTCTCTACCTCTTTAAAAAAAAAAAAAACCCAAACAATTAGTAGCTAATCCATGCTGAGTGACCTCTTTATATTGTGTGTTTAAGATGAATTAAGAAGAAAGTGACAGAAACAGTGATTATATATATATATATATATATATATATATACAAAAAGCAACTGATTCTTCTTCATGTTTTAAATGCAGCTATTTTGAACTGGAGAGCAGTGGCCTGAGGGATGAGATCAGGTACCACTACAGGTTTAATGGGAAGTCAAGAACAGAGGTGTTCCCGTACCGCCTGGCAGATGGACAGTGGCACAAGATTGCTGTGTCACTTAGTGCATCCCATCTTCTGCTCCACGTGGACTGCAACAGGTAAGAAAGCATGTCCAGTGACTGATATTTCTTTAAAAAATAATCTCTACTTACACACAGGAATAAAATTGGAAAAGGAGGTGTTTTTTTTTTCTTTTTTTTTAAATGTCTAATTCAAAAAGCACGCTCAACTTATGCTGTGGGATAAGAAAACAAAAGTATTAAAATGGAACAATTCATTGTGATTATGAACAAATGTGGGAAAGGTTGATTGCTGACTGGGGAGTATTAAAGGCATCTCTGTAGTTTAGGCACTGGCTGATGTTACATTTGCCTGTGATTGCTTTTAAGTGTGATGGATTGGCGTGTGGTGAACTGCTCCCCTCAGCATACCTGAGAACTTGAAGAACAGATAGATGCATCAGAGGCATTTTAATTTCATTTTACATAATCAGACAAGTACTTTTTACTGATTTTTTTTTTTTTCCGATCTTCTGTCTCACTTGGAAACTTCTGAGAGACCTGGAAGCTTCTTTTTCCATGTCTGGAACTGGTGCTTTTTATTTTCTGAGGGGCATCCTGCCTGTCATTGCACTTTTCCTTTAAAAAATGGGAAGAACTGTGAGATGGCATACTGCCAGGACTTCAAGGGATGAAAAAACAGCAAACCCAGCATCTCTTCTCCCTAGAATCCATCTTGCCTTTGGACTTGATCTCACAATGTATTGTAGACTTCAGGCTTAGTGGTTGATGAGCAGAGAGCTTGAGATTGGGAGTTTCAAAATGGTCTTTCTTTAGGAATGAGGAAAACAAACCATTACTTTTGTGTCTTATTGCACTGAAAATAATTAAAAAAAAAATATCCTTTGCGTTTCAGTGAGGGAGTCAGCATGTGCATTTTGGAATAGGGGCACTTAAATGGGCAGGCTGATGGTAGCAGATATATTTTTTTCTGAAGCCTTCATTTTGTTCAGACAGGCAGAATAAAGTTGGATGAGTATTACAGGAGTAGGCGGTTATTGGAACATTTGAAAAAGTTTAGATTTTGACCGAAGTAATTGTGAGATAGTGTTTTGAGAAGAATGTTACAACCCTTTTCCGCATCTTCATTAACTCCTGAGAAATCTAATCTGAAGGAATGTTGCTTATTGGAGCCTTTCATTTGGACCTTAGAAGCAATTAAGTGCTTAGAGTAATTTTAATTTCATTGAGGCATGAAATCTACAATTTGTAAAGATTGTCCTCATTTCAGTAATTTGATTTATTTCTCTTACCCTTACTTGCTTATTTCTTATAGTATTTCTTTGCTTACAACTTTATGCTTTTTTGTTAGTTTATGGATATACTGGGTTTCGGGGCAGGTTTTTCATTATCCACTATGATATGCTTTTTATTTTTTTCCTTAATTTTTTTTTTTTAATTTTATGAACAGCAGATGTGTTTTAGGGAGACCCTTTCTAACAGGCTGTGTAGCTGGTTGCTTTCTTGCACAGAAAGTGGAAAAAAATGCAACGCAAAGCAACTGCCTGGTGCAGAATTCTGTCCAGGGAGAAGAGGACTGCACGGAGTCATGGTTGTGACACAATTTTCTTTACAGCAACAGGCAGAAATAGATAAATACAATCATGGAATGAGCTGTGCTGTCATGTGAGGTGACAAATATGTATAGCCATGTCTGTCAGGGGCTGATCCATCCAACAGTGTCCCTTAAGGTGGTACATCTCAAAGTTGCTCCCAGCATAAATCCGTACCTAAAATATCTCTATTTGGCTCTGTGTTTGTGGTATTTTATGACAACTCCTGTGGAAAAGTAATGGGAATAGCTCTGAAAGCATGACTTGAGGGCAGATCATAGTAGAAGTTTAAATGAGAGGGGAAAAAAAGAAGAAAGTCTTGAAGTTCCTGACTCAGCTGCAGCATCTCTGTTCAGTTAATTAGAGAGTTTAGTGAAAGTTGGTGTTAGTTTCCTTTATTAAATCTTAACCCTTTGCATCTTTGCACTCCGAAGGGAGTCAACATCTTGTTCGTCTTGGCACTAGCACTTCCTGATGACACAGCAATAAATGTCAGAGCTGTGAAAAAGAAGAGCAAGCCACAGAGGGCTGCTTCTGAGCACTGCTGAAAACCCTGAGCCTGCTTCACCTCAGTGCTAGGAAAGCTGCCACTGAAAGTATGCACGGAATTTAGTGCTGAGAGCTGGGGACTCCACATGTAAATGTCACCGTTTTAGGCTGGTGTGGTGTCAGTGGCTCTGGGCAGAGTTCAGGATGCCTTGTGAGAAGCGATGCTTCCATTTCCTGCAGAGATTTGGTGTCATCAGAACAGGAATTCAGCTTGATGTGTACCTGTCTAGTTAAAGAAGTTCTCTGCTTTTTGTTTACTGTTCTTTCCCCTGTAATAAATAAAAACAAAGCAAAAAGGGGGAAAAAAAATTAACCAACAAAATGAATCCCTTAGATTTCTGCTGCGTTTCCTTAAGGGATTTGCAACGTTTCTTCCTTACAGATATGCCTGAATTTGTATAAATGCATTACTCCTTTTGTTTAGGACTGTGGTAATAGGTTATATTTGGAATGTAACCTATTGGAATGTATACAGGAATATATTTGGAAGGCTGTTGTGAGCGAGTCGTTTGTGAATGCAGTGTTAGTAAAGTTAAGCTGTATGTGAGAGTGCATTGAAAGTGTTTGCATTGGGAAAAATATTCAGCCACAACCTAGTTTTGCTACAGGATTTGTATTGTGATACTGAAAGCTGGTCTCTGGCCTCCAAATACTGCGGTAGCTCAGAAAGCATTGGAGATGAAGCTTTGAATTTGTAAACAGATAGTCAAATCTGCTTTTACTCTTCGCAGCCTTATTGCCCACATTACTGTGATTTGTCAAATTGCTTTGACATTTGGTACTTGATTATCTTTTGGATTGAATTCAAAGTCAACTTCGTTTTTCAGACCTGGATAGGTTAGGGCAAAGTACTTGAGAGCTGGCAAAAGCCTTTGGTGCTTTTAAGCATCATCTTTAAAACAGTGTAATTGCCTCTGTTCTAATGAGATATAATACCGTGGGGGAAGCATCTGTATCAAAGGGGTGTATTTGCCCGAGTGCATGTCCTCTTGAAAATCGGCTCCTGCTGCATCTTACTTGCTCCTTCAAGAGCAGGGAGTGAGAATTGTAGCTGAGTTTGATGTTACGGCTGACACAGAAATCACAGAATTATATTTTGGGTTGAAAGGGGCTGTGAAGACCATCTGGTTTTACTGCCCCTGCCAGGGGCAGGGACACCTTCCACTAGACCAGGTTACTCCAAGGCCCATCCAACCTGGCCTTGGACACTTCCAGGGGTGGAGCATCCACAGCTTTTCTGGGTAACCTGTGTCAGTTCCTTCCCCACCTTCACATGGAAGAATTTCTTCCTAATAATTAATCTAAACCCACCCTGTTTTCAGTTTGAAGCCATTCCCCCTTGTCCAGTCAGTTCATTCCCTTGTCCAAAGTCCCACTCCAGCTCTCTTGTAGCCCCTTTAGATTCTGGAAGGTGCTATAAGGTCACCCCAGAGCCTTCTCTTCTCAAGGCTGACCAACCCCAACTCTCTCAGCCTGTCTCCAGTGGAGTGAGAAGGAAGGTACCTTAAGAGTCCAGGCTGAAAACCTGCTCAATGTCAATGGACTCTTCTCACTGACTTGAAGAGCCTTTGTGCTGGGCCCAGACAGTGACCTCTAATCAGAGATGTGTCTCAGAAAACCGACCTAAGAAGCTGTGGGTGCACTTGCTAACATGCTTTTAACATTCTAGTAAGGTTCTGAAAGCTTAGAAAAATGAAAAGGCTGCATTAATTATGAATGTACTACTGATGCACAAGTAAAACCTGTGCTGAAAGTAACATGGAAATTAAATCTCCTGCTCTTGGTGGGATCTCTGCTCCCCTCCTCTAGGCAAAAACGAGTTGTCAGGGACCTTCTGGAGAGTGTTTAGAATGAGCTAGAGCAGCTGTGTCCTTGTCAAAGGGTCCTTAAATAACCTGTGGTTAAAGGATTAATATATAAACAAATAAACTCTGCTATGCACCTTTCCAGCTTTGGCCTCTGAGATTTTCAACCCTGGGAGACTGTCAAGCCCTCCAGGATCTGATTCTTGTCGTCTCTGGGAATTAGTTTCAGCTGTAGAGTTTTCAGCAGTAGAGTCTGTAACGTTTCCCGTGGTACCTGCCTGTCCCCTTCGACAGGGACAGCACAGAAATATGTTCCATTCAGTAGTGTTAAGACACAGCATGGAGCCTACAATTTAAGAGGTGGTAGTTACTGTGTCAAAATGTATTTATTGGTAACTCATTCACGAAATAGAAATTTCAGGTTGTTCTCGGTGTGTGTGATTGGTCTGGGGAGGTAAGCTGGGAAGGTGTTTGGTTTTTTTAAATTGTTTTGTCATCAATCATATTGATACAAAGGTACTCACCTTTTCAGACAGTGTCTGTATTCCTTTACTTGAACTCTGTCTGCAGGCATAGAAGGGAGAAAGGTGCTTTGATGCAAAAATTAATGTTTTTCCAGTGAATGTCTTGTGCTGGAGTGCCTTTTGCTGTGGCTACAACCTGTGGTTTTGGTGGATACTCTCAGCTGTTTGATGGAGGGGGTTGGTAAGAGCGTGAGAGAAGAGATTATAAAACTGGAGCAGGCTAGGGTGTAGTCTCCAACTGAAAAAACATGTTGTCTGCTTCTTTTATGTTAGAACAGCGCATTAGGGAATAAAAAATGCATGAGCAGTGAGAACTTTTTAATTGGAAAAATAAATAAATTAAACTAACATCCTCCAAACATGGGAATCCAAGACCTCCGAGTTCTTATAAATAAGATATTCTGGCTGCCAACCTGAGGTTTTCAACTGATCTAAACAAAGTTCTATGACTTTAATTAAAGTGTAATAAATTTAAAGAAGGTTAAGGGATGTATTTTAAAGAGGGATTTGCTGCTTTAGTTACCGTAAAACACTTTTCTCTTGAGAGAGAAAATGGCGTGGTGGCAGTGTTATGCAGCTAGGTAATTTACTCTCACTATTTGAATATG